TTGGGAGATACCTCTGAGGAAGGCTACAATTTTCCACAGCCTTCCAACCTCATTATCTGTGGCAGTAATCAAGAAACAAACACCCCAAAATAAAGCCACAAGCTATGGGAACAAAAAACTCAGCAAAAGGTGAGCACAGAATGATAAATCATCGAGCTCCATCAAAGACCCTGTAACTTGCGGATAGCCAAAAGAAGTTTGATTTTGACAAAAATCAAAAAAGGAATTAAAAAATGAAAGGCACACTTCTGTTGGAGCCTGAGCTCTGCCTTTCCTTATTGAGGGCTTTGATAGCTGGGGACTGTTTGCCCACAAATGCACACGCACTCAATTTGTGTTCCTTCTGTCCTTCAAAAATGGTGTTCTGGTATGGATAAATGCTGCTACTTTTGCCTTTTCTGGAAGCAGAACTTTTGCAATCCCTCCAATATTGCAGCCCTGCCTACAAAGTACATTTTTTAGGTAGATAAAAGTAATAAAGTATCTGCACCCATTCATGTCTCTGCCCTACAGAGTAATTTTATTTTACTTCAAGAAACAGCAGGAATTACATGGAAAATAGAGAATTAGGGCAATGTAAACAGGCCCCGTCCACATTCCTTTTTTCGCTACCGAAATGCACAAAACAGCCTTATTCCTTAACGTAGTGCACCCTTGTTATTAATGAAAGATGAAAATGCATCTCTGCGTTATTTAATATACTCTATGTATCCTAGACATGCTTCAATATGCTCTTCCATTAATGCCCTCTTCAGAGCAGCATTCAGATAACTCAGACAAAATTAGTGCTGTGGCAGCTTTACTTGTTCTTAAAAACCTCCAGTAATGGATGGTGTGGCATTCCTGGACAGCCTCCTCCCCTTCTCATACAGCCATGTACCATAGATCACAGAATGGTCTCGGTTGGAAGGGACCTTAAAGCTCATCCAGTTCCAACCACCCAGCCACGGGCAGGGACACCTTCCACTAGACCAGGTTGCTCAAAGCCCCATCCAACCTGGCCTTTAACACTGCCAGGGATGGGGCAGCCACAGCTTCTCTTGGCAATCTGCGCCAGTGTCTCACTACCCTCATAGTGAAGAATTTCTTCCTCATATCTAACATAAATCTCTTCTTCAGTTTAAAGTCATTCCCTCTTGTCCTGTCACTACATGACCTTGTAAAGAGTCCCTCTCCAGGTTTCTTGTAGGCCCCCATAAGGTATTGGAAGGCTGATATAACATCTCCCCTGAGCCTTCCCTTTTCCAGGCTGAACAAGTCTGGTTTTCCTAATTTTGCTTTTAAAACATCCAGCTGCTTCTTTATGGATATGAAGAACATCTGAGCACTGCCCCTGTGTACGCCCTAGCACCTGCCCTCCCATTGCAAGAATGTATGAACAAGCGTTTTGTGTTGCTTCTAGTTTCTCTTCAGGGCTGTCATACAATCATAACTTTTTAACTGATGTAACATGGTGTAAGATGAAAATTAGGCCATTTATCTTACACCATCACACTCTCTCTCAAGTCCTGGCTCAAGACCAGGCCCTGGAAACATCCAGATGTTAATCTTTCATACCTCGCCATATATAACCCTGTGCTTCCTTACCATTACAATTTCTGCCTGAGAAAATCAAGGCTGTGCCCTGCCTCCTTGCCAGAAAGCTGTTCCCAAATCTTGCTACGCTGTGGAAGAGCGGTGGAGCGGGTCCTCCAAGTGGCCATCCCAGCCTCTTTGGCAGGAGGCTGCATAAAGCCCTGCAGGAGCTCAGCTGGACCTACAGCCACTTCTCTCCTCAAAGCAAGACAGAGCAAAGGCACTGATGAGAGGTGCCCTTCCTTCAAGGAGGAACAAGACCTGGGCTGTACTGGAGCTCAGGACTGTTCCCATCTGTTTTCCTTTCACCAGACGCCAACGTTGTCTTGGATTTTTCCTCTTGTTTTGCTTGTTATTGCTAAAGATACTTTTTATTCCCTACCCTCTTGCAAAGGTCTGTCCATTCATATAAAGCCTGATTTTTCTGTCTGCAGATATAGAATTTAGCTTAATTGCCTAATTAAGATGTTCATCCTTGACTTAAAGCCTTTATACAAATCACATAGAAAGTACACGCTGAAAATTTCTTAAGTCCACAGGATTTACAGCCAAGATAACTAAACATAGTAGCACAAGTTATGGACTTTCAGTCAAATGAATGCAAATATCACAAAGTACATAGACCTTCACTACGCAAAGGTATACTGGCAATAAAGGTTTAGAGACAGAGTGATGGTTGGTGGGGACAGGCCCTCATTTTTCCATGAAACACCCTAATAAATTCATAACTTTAAAATGACCTTACTTTAATATTAACTGAGTCCACTTTGCTACTGTTCTTTTTAAAAACAACCTTTTAATTCCCATCTTCTCTTTCAGGTTATGACCAGTTATGTACGGCCCAAGCTCTGCTTCAGTTAATTGTTTTGCCTAGAAATACTAATTAGAGATCAGCAATTTCCACCAATGTCATTACCACAACAAATCTTAAGGAAGAGCTTAGAAACATTTCACTGGTTCATAGAGCTTTCAGAGTGACCTTCTCACACTGAGTTCATATTGATTCAGATATCCTTCATTCCTCTATAATTTCTAAATCACAGAAATTACATCAAAGAACTGTAAGGGTCTGACTTTTATCACCAAAATAAATTGATTTAACGTACCCTGTGAAATACTTAGGCACAACAGGATACATGGTTAGAGCATAGCAGAGTTAACAGTATACCCATAGTGCCTTGTTATCTGAGGATGCATAGTACACTCACTCTTAAAATGTGAACTTCGTAGTTTCTACGGGTTTAATTTAGACCCTTGGGGCTACATACACATTGAGGATTTGACACGTAACATCCATTAGTGTTAAAAGTGGTTGTACACACAATCACTGATTTTTAACACAGAAAATTAACTTTTTCTATTTCATTTCTGATTAAACCTAAAAATTGTTTAAAAAAGCCCCAGTCTTAGCCCACAGTTTAACTAAAATGTCCTGAAAATGACAGATACTTGAGTTTTGCTTTAAAGGCATGGCTCTGCCCATGGCAGGGGGGTTGGCACTAGATGATCTTCAGGTCCTTTCCAACCCTGACTGTTCTATGATTCTATGATTCTATAAGTAGAGCTGACAGTGTCTGACAGCGGTCAAAAAGAGCACGCTTAAGCACACGTGAATTTGGTTGCAACCAGTACAGCTACTTGTACCCACCAGGATAAGGATGTGCTCAAGAAGAGGCTGAGACAGACTGAGGAAGTTGGGGCTGTTCAGCCTGGAGAAGAGAAGGCTGCGTGGAGACCTCATAGCAGCCTTCCAGTATCTGAAGGGGGCCTATAGGGATGCTGGGAAGGGACTATTCGTTGGGGACTGTAGTGACAGGACAATGGGTAATGGGTTCCAACTTAAACAGGGGAAGTTTAGATTGGATATAAGGAAGAAATTCTTTACTGTGAGGGTGGTGAGGCACTGGTACGGGTTGCCCAATGAAGTTGTGAATGCTCCATCCCTGGCAGTGCTCAAGCCCAGGCTGGACAGAGCCTTGAGGGACACGATCTAGTGTGAGGTGTCCCTGCCCGTGGCAGGGGGGCTGGAACTTGATGATTTTAAGGTCCTTTCTGACACTAACTATTCTGTGATTCTATGATTCTAAATGCTATTCTGGACTGGGACCAGAACACAGTAGAATCAACCCCTAAGACAATTTTGAGTGCAGACATGCATACAGATGTTAGGTGAGTTTGGTAAGAGAGACTGTTATTAAATTTGCTTGACAGATCCCTATTTAAGATGCAGATCCTACACACCAGATGCCTGCCTGAAGCGGAATATTTCAGGGGGAGAAAAAAAAAAAAAAAAAAAAAAAAAATCAAACAAAATGGTTGGATGATTTCTGAGAAAATACATAATTTGATCTGACATAACCTTATTTCTGAGTTTTTTAATTTGCAGACTTAAACTGTACCCTCTCATACTTCCTAGCAGCTCCATAAGTAAAATACAGAGGGAGACTATAATAGGACCTTAGTCTCCTGTTTGTGCTACAGTATGCATGTGTGTTCCTGCTGCAGATTGAAAGCGTGAACTGTTTAAAAATGTAAATGTATTTTTTAGTTATTAAATTAAATTCTATGAGTAAAAATACTTTTAGATTTATAGATGCAAATTTGATCTCCAGAATTATATATATTTACTGTTCCTTGTTAAGAAAGAGCCCAAATCATCTCCTTTATATAATTCATTCATTAAGCCTAAAAATGCCTGGTGCTGTCTGATGCAAATACCACAAACAAACCTATGAAATGTGTTTTTTCAGTTAAAAGCCCATTTTGTGATCTGGCAATGTGAAATAAACAGCTATCAGACTGTTAAGTCTGACAATACTGAATTGGCACTCTGTCTATGGCGGATTTCACACTTATGCTGCACTGGACAGAAATAAAATAACAGTCAACCTTCCAAAATAAACCCACAGGGGACCTAGACGAATGCTTGGTATATCAGGGCCCTCACTCTAGTAAGATGCTACACTGGAATAACAAAGAACTATCTCATTTGTATCCAACAGAAACAGTAATTCTGTGGCAATTATTTCACATAAGTCCATGTCCTACTACCTTAACCCTCCTCCTTGCAGAATCTAGCAAATGATGAGAAAGGCAAGCCGTATGCAGGTCAGCCTTACTTAAGCATCTGCCTGATTTGGCTAACTATCGATAAAAGAACTCTTTTTTTTTTGCTGCCAGATCTGCTCAAAATGAGTTTGTTACAGGCAGGGTTTGTTCCAGTGATCTCCGGCTGCAGTGCAAACTGAAGTAGGATGTCTTGAAAGGCCGGGGGTGATTTTTTGGTCATGGCAATGGTGCTTTTGACTCAAGTCAGAGAAGGAGAAGCAATGACACTCTGTCAAAGTCACTGTAAGGCTCTGATGGTAACTGCACACACTCGCTCAATACACAGGCAACCGCTGCGGCAACAATAAATGCTTCACCTTGCCATGCATGAGAAGTCGAATGGTAAGCGTGACATTGAGACCTCCTTCAGTCGCTTTTGTGTCCTTCGTGTTCATCCTGGCCTTGTATCTTCAATACTTGAAAGCAGCTTCGTTTTTCTGGGTTTTTTTTTATTCACTTAATCAACCTACAAAGAAGGAGAGAGAAAAAGTACCATTGAGTGGCCAAAGCTACTCTGAACTGAGAATATCATACTGTACAAAGCAATTAACATTCCTTCCTTTGATTTTCTGGACTACAGTTTAGTGCTGAAAAGGCTCCTTTGATTATTATCCCTATCCAACCAATTCTTTAGCCCTTCACGATTACAAGATAAACTCCTCTTTGAAACTTTAAAAATTCTCTTAACTTCCTGTATTTGGAAGCTGAAAGTACAGAGCACAACAAAGTGAAATACAATGTTTTCCTCACAGCACTTTCTCTCTGTTAACCTTCGCTGTGTGTATATGCAATATATATATATAAGCATTTTTTACACATGCCTGGTGCTGTTTTCATTTTCCTCCCTGTTACTACCTCTTTTGCCTTTTGGCTTTACAGAAAAGATATTTTTGTTTTCTCTCCAGCTAGAGAGAAATTAATTCTGAGCCTAAACACCAATCCCTGCCAGCAACAGTGGATGACACATTATCAAAGACATCTGAGTTACCAAAGAACCACTTGCTGCTGTAAATCTGGGCACTGTCTGACTTTGTCTTTGTCTACCAGGCCCAGAGGTGGCTCAGTCCCTCAAAGGCTGAAGCTGAGCTTCAGCCCTAAGTAAAAAAGAAGATTTTTCTTAATTCCTAATGACAAATTGCAGATTTTTCAGTCATTTACAAAGCCATAAATATCCTAAAATGCTAATGAAAGCTGCAAGGGATGGCTCTGAAGGGATAAACAAAATGCATTATGAGTTTATTAATGCAAGGACATTTATCAGTACAAAAAAAAAAGGGGGGGGGAAGGGGGCAGAAAGGAATATTACCAAGGGCAGGAAAAATCCACAGTAGAAAAGGCTTAAAGACTTCTTATATGGTTCTGTTCTTTTCAGGGCTATCTTACAGAGCATAAAACCCCTAAGCAGACATCACTCCTGTCAGTAACCATCCGTTATTAATGAGAACCCTATTAGTTTTGCATCTTGGAGCTTCCCAAAAATTTGGCTAGCTTGGGTATTGACTAATGAGAACCTCTAAAGACAAGCATTTTGAGGACAAGCATTTTGTGGTTCAGAGCATACAGCAGTGTCTGTCTCACTGGGGTTACAGGCTATTGTCCCCTTGTGGAGACTTCTCGGGTATGGGACGAAACTACTGGAGAGACCTAAGAGATCATTCCCTTAATAATGCCAGCAGCAATATCATGTAGACTGCTTCATCAACTGATTTAAGCTCCATCTTAAGAACCATTATGCACTGACATACTAGACCAAAGTAAAGCCCATCGGAGTTGAGCATATTATGTGTGAGGGAAGTCAGCAGCAATGCTTAAAGAAAGAGCACAAGAAACATATATGGAGTCATCCCTGACTGACTTGCTGAGCTGCCAGCAATAAGTGATTCAGGGTCTCCTGGGAGACTACATCCAAACCTGTATTTTCAATAGCTGTTGTTGGACCACTCCTCCATGAATTTGTCTAATCCCTTCTCGAATCCACAGATTTGGTCTCCAAAAATTCTGTTCTCCCAGACTAATTGTTAGTGTGGGAAGAAGTGCTTCACTTTATCTGTCTTAAACCTGCCGTCACTTCCCCTTGTAACACATTTTGCCCTCTGTGTACTACATGAAGACCATCCCAAAAAGTCACTCCTCTGGTAGCTGATGCTCCTAGTTTCAGCCTGAACCTGAGGGTGGCCAAGCCATTCCTGGTGGTTTTGCTGCTGAGAAATACACTGGAAGATGCAGAGTTTTCTCTCAAGTCTCTGCAGGACTACTTAGGACCACAGACAGCTGCTGTGCCTTCAATAACTGCAGGCAAGCGTGTTGAGGAGAGTTGAAAAGAGAGAAAGAACAACTTTAACTCCCCTTCCTAAAAGGAAATTCATTACATGCTACCACAGAGCAGATCCTGCCTACCCGGGTCCATTGCCAGGGCCCATTTGCCCTAACCCAGCATGGACTCATTTTATTTCATACCTTATGGTCTACCACCCAGACCACAGCCACTGAAATAAATCCCAATTATTCCACACTTATAGGCTTATCACTTCCATATCACCTATCCAGATGGAGAAAGGCAGACGAGAAGCAAGGTGCCTGGGTGAGAAGGCAGAAAACAGAAGCAGCCTGGCCATGCCTCTGATGCACCATGTGCGCAAGAGGGTGAATGGAAAATGTCCCAAAGCAGCTGGTAGGAAATGACAGAGAAAGGTATTGGACTCTATTCTACTTCTTTAAGGTTAGAGCAGGACTCATATTAAAATCTGTAAGTGGGTTAACACAATACTCCCTTCTGACAAGTGCAGAAGGAGGAGTAGAGGAGGCAGCTGTGGTTGCTCCCAGACTATGGAAGAGAATGGTCCTATGGTGCTCACCTACTGCTTGCTGAGGGAAATCCTCTGGCTCCTACAGCCCAAGCATCTTCTACTCAGCTCTGTCAAAAAACATAACAACCAACCAACCCAAAAGCCAACCAACCCCAAAAAACAACAAACCCAAACCAACCCTCAAATGCCAAACAGGAGCACCCTGGTGCATAAACAGTAGAATATATCTCAGCATTCTGGACTTTATAGGAGCACACTGGCTATTTGAGATCTCTACAATGCTTAGGGTATGCTTGGAAGATTTCACATAAGGGACATGTTTCAAGTAGAAGCAAGGTGTTTAAGACTCACTGTGGACCAAATTTTAGTGATGAAAGTACAGCTGTGTTTCTAATGAAAAGTATTCCATGTGGGTAAAATAATCCCAGACTAGATACACATTTACAGTTGCTATGGCCTTTACTGCTGTGGTGCTACAGCAGTAGGCTCACTTTGGAAAAGACTTTTGGAGGAAATCCTTTATCCAGACAACAAACCAATCCCCACCCAATCCTGACCTTTTCCAGATAAAACCTGAAAATTTCTGTATCTTTAGCTAATGCCTTCTCCGTTCTTATTAAAAACAGGTTAAAAATGAATTTCCACCACAGATACTGTTAAGAATGTCACTGCCATCTAATTTTTTGAAGGATTTTCTCTTTGTCCCTCCTCCCAACGAGCTCAAGCCCTGCACCTAGTATTGAAAAGCAGAATGGATGTCTGGGGGAGGGCTGAAAGCCTGTGTGCCTGCAAGGAGCTAGGCAGCTGTGTGAAATAGAAAAGGAATGAATTCAAAAAGGCAACCTCACATGGTAAAGAGAAATATGTGAAACCAATACATATATCATGAAGACAGAAGAGTTTTTATTATGCCAAAAAAACCCAACTAAACAAACCCAAAGAAAAATGAACAGGCAACATTATAGTGACACTCAGCAGAAGTCATGCCTAATTTGCATAAGGATATTTAAACTCAGTCATCTAGTTCCAATGTGTCTATAGGTTTTAAAAAAGAAAACTTCAATAAGGGAAACATAAGAACATCCAGTCTGTGACACTAAATCTGTCGTTTCTATAATAAATGGAATCATCCCAAAGGAGGGGTAGCTAAGGAGATGATCAAGCCATAGAGCTGGGGGCAGGAAAAGACAGGGGCTGAACAAGAAGGCTAAGACATAAACAGAGAACATGAACAAAGGGGATTATCATGGGTTATGAAGTTATTATGTTAGGAAGTTGGACAGTAATACACTGATGTTATGAAAAAATAGTTCAGAGTTTGGTTTATGTAGCAAGAGCTCTTAGAAAAAGAAGCGTTATTACTAGAAAAAAGACAAAAAGGATAGTAAGAGTGATCAAAAAAGAATGGAGAAAACCGAAACACAGGAAATCATGAAAAGGCTGTAACGAAGTCTTCTTGATCAGAAGCCTCCAGGTGGAGGGAGACCTCCTGGGAACTTGAAGAAGCACATTGCAGGGGATGATGATGAGAAAAAAGGACCCTTGCTTTCAGCAGATCAGTGTTCTTCAGGGACAGATTTATGCTACTTGCATGATTTTAGCCTTTTACTTAAACTGGAGGAAATATAGGAAAGGAGGAGGAGACTGAAAGAAGCATTAGAGTAATATATATTACTACGGGACAAAAATTAATGACATTATCCATAGAAATCAATACACTCAGCCATATATGTAAGGTTTAAAATTAAAAATCATCTGTCTGCCACAGAAAGGTTCATGCTATCGAATGAGGAAATAACTGCTTTGCTTTCAAGCTCTTTAATAAGCTAAGCAGTTATTATCTATGGCTTTTCACTTGAAAGTAACATCTCTGGATATTAAAGGATTAAACAGTGCAATTATACAGAAGAAACACTGGCAGAAGTTAGCTCCCCCACCCCCAATCTAAAGTGAAATCAAAGCAAAACCAGCTACAGTTGTATTATTTTGTTTCAAGGAGCTTCCTTTCAGAAATGGTGAAAAGTGGTAACAATCACCAGCTATTTACAGTCTCAGCTAGAAGCAAAAGACAACTGGACTTTTGCTAAACATACGCTTCTTCAGTTTCTGTGTCAACTGAAGGATGAAGACATCTACTGTTACTGAACCATATTGTTGTGAGGTTACTTCAGCTCGCTGAGAGCTCCATTGTGAAGGATTCTGTGGGAAGCTTCCATGGAGGATTAAGGAGCTGGTGAGTTCTGGGAGATTTTCAAGAACACTCTCCTGGAAGCACAAAACCAGTTCATCCCCCTTCAAGGTAACGGAAGCAGACTGAGCAAGAGACCCCCTTGGATTATCTGTGATCTGGATGCCCACAATAATGTAACAGTAATAACAACAACAACAACAACAACAACAACAACAACAACAACAACAACTACTCTTCAAAGGATTTCTTTCCCATTAATAACTATTTGAGAAAGCAGAAAAAAAGGAGTGCTTTGAAGCACTCCAGTCTTATGCAGAAGCCTCACCAGGAGAATCTGATTAATGAACAATAGCTAAGGAAGTGAGTGCAGCATTAAACTTTCTACTTTACCAGTTCCATCTCCCAAATTACTATAAAGGACTGTACACAAAAAAAATGAGATTATACATTTGATTCAC